AGTATCTAGAAATAGTAGGAAAAAATAATCTCAGGCGTGTTGTCAGTTTCAAAGTGAAGAAATAAAAAACTAAGGTATTTATGTGCTTTTAACCACACGATAGAAGTGAAAACATCAACAAGGCCTGATTATTAATAATATGAAATATAAATAGTAAATCATTATAAAGAGGATGAAATGCTGAACATTTTCTTCCCTTGCTGTATGCAGGCCCGATTTTTAATTTCTGAGATATTTTAATCAATATCTTCCATAAAACTCATTATAATTTGTTTTTCAACTCTATTTTTTTTTTTTTTTTCCTTTTCGGCTCTCAATCATGACATCGCGGTAAAATACAATCCTCAATAATAAATAGGTCGTTATAAACAGAATAATATGCCGAACATTTCCCTCCCTTACAGTATGCAGGTCCTCTTTTTAATTTCTGAGATATTTTAATCCATATGCAAAAACATTCCAATTAGTCAACTCCATCTGACGGCTCAGTCTAATTCACTCTCAACAAAAAAAAAGTGCAAAACGCGCCTAAAGAAGTTTTCATTTAAAAAAACATATATAAATCGTTATTTTTATAATAATTTTGTCTGTTGAGTTTTGATATTTCATACTTAATTGGGGCTAGTTTTTAAATTTGAAATTTAACTAGTTCTTATTGATTAAAGTATTCTTGGGAAGAAAACGGGAAATACATCGACGGTCACACACTGCAAAAGCCTGTAAGGACAATTTTTTTCGGGAAATGTAATTTTGATATTTTCTGTACAATCTTGTCCTGGCGCATATTCTGATCTCACAAAATCATATCGTACAATGTTTCATTTCTTCCCTATGGCCTTGTGTAAAAATCTGCAAACCAGTGAAGTAAAAACCTGTAAGCTTCTGTGAAGGTTGCAGGAATTGTAAAGTTAGCGAAAAAACGTAATGAAATGAAAGGTTTTTATGTAAATATACAATGTATAAAACGGTTTTGCGCTTAGACTACAGTATGAAAAATGATTACTAGATTTACTTCTATTTAACCATATAATTATCACAAGGGATTGACTACAATTCATAAGCCATTTTAAGAAAACTTTGGGGGTATAAATTATATGAATTTACAATCTAGTTTAATATCATCACGGACTCCTGTTTTATAATTAATTATATGTCAAACTAGTTGGCCCGTGCGAAAAGTTCGCAGAAAATTTTGTTTAGTGAAGAAATAGCAAAACAATATGGAAACATGTAGTTCCTATGTATTATGTAAGGAAGGAATTAATATTTGTACAAATTGCTTTGCTAGAACCTATTTTTAAACGCTGACTGGAAAGATAATAAAAGTAATAAATACAAAATAATACCCCGATCATGGGATTTTCTAAATTATTAAAGAAAAGAAAATCTAAGAACAAACAAATACCTTTAAGAAACAATAAAGTTAATTTATCAGCCAGGAAAAAAAGTGTAGCAGAATAGTAAATACAATATCTTTAAAGAGGAAGAAATTATTAAGTAAACCAAAACTAATGGACTGTATCTTTGTTAATAATTGTCCGATTTATACGATTTTTTTGTTTATTTTGTAAGTAATCTTTCTAATTACCATGCAATCATGAAAAAAAAATGCCTACTTTTTGAGTTATTCGCAGATAAAACTTCTTTTGCTTCATAAATTTTTTCCAGACATTTCTGGGAGATAGGACTATTTTTAGCATGTGAATGAGAGAAATATCTTCAAAATGAGTGGTCAATCATTGGCTTTGATGAAGAATTAAAAAAAAAAACCTTTTAGAAATAATATGTAGGATTTAAGTATTTGTATCTCTTTAGGTTTTTCTTTTCTATTTTCCTGAAATTAAAATTAATATTTTTCTAAATTAAATTCTATTCTATCTTTCTAGTTTTGAAAAATATCTTTTACACCATACCCCGACGTAATCTAAGAACAAACAAATACCTTTAAGAAACAATAAAGTTAATTTATCAGCCAGGAATAAAAGTGTAGTAGACTATTCTACTCCTAAATGCAATATCTTTAAAGAGGATCTTTCTAATTATCATGCAATCATGAAAAAAATGCATAGTTTTTTTAGTTATTCGCAAATTAAGTTTCTTTTCCTTTATAACTCTTGTTCCATGAATTTCGGGGGGTGGGATTATTTTTCACATGTGAAGGAGAAGAATATCTTCAAAATGAGTGGTCAATCATTGGATTTGAACAAGAATTGACGAAGTTATGGCGTACCGACAAAAAACACCTTTTAGAAATAATATATATGATTATGAAACTGAAGAAAATCAGTTCCTTTTTTTTCACTTTAGTAATTATTAGCTTTATTAATAGGCTAAAATTAATGATTCAAATACGATTTTTTAAAATTACTAACAAGTGGCGGGCGCCCTTGGGCAAATGCCCTAAATCCCGGGACTTCCTATCATAGAACTAGACGAAGCAAAGAAAAGTGAAATATAATATCCGACGACCTTCGAAACAATTTGAAACCTTCAGACAACTACAAAATTACCTTAGCAGGAATAAGGCTACAGTGCTGCTTAAGTCCAGAAAATGAAAGACAAAGAACAAATTTCAGTGAATTCATGAATCTTCGACATCGCCAGAACTTCCGGAACGAAGTGATCTACATACCGATACTTAGTGATCTACATTACCTTTCACTTATCAAGAACTCGTGATTTAAACTATGTCCATATTGATCTGAGTATGTTGATGACGAAACTTTCTTAGACTTCTCCAAAGTTTGGACTCAGGCACTCTATCCGTGCTGTCCCTACAGTGAGACACAAAACTGAATGACGCGTGTGATCTAAATACCAGCCTTTCTGTAAATTTTTTTACAAATTACCATTTGAAGTCACATTTATAATTTTTGGAAACAGACTTTGTGCCTTCTGTCACGATTTGATCATCATTAACAAAGTTATTGACGCGACTTCAATAAATTTGATTGATTTTTCCAAACTAATTATCTATCTTTCAAAGTAGGTAAAAGGCTTAGAGGTAAATTTCTGTAAGTTATGAAAGTGTGTCTAAAAGACTATTTTGTAGAAATATGACAAAAAAGTTTCCTAGATCTCTTCATCTTTGTTTAAAGTTAAATAATTGAACAGAAAACACAGTGGACTTATAACAAAAATTGTTTTTTTCGTCTCCTGAACATTTTTATATTTTGTTCCTTCAGACTTTTACAGTTTGGCTGTTGATTTATTGATAAAAATATATTAATTTACTTTGTACTTATAAGAAGTAGTCATTAGTTCTATTTTTACTTATTTATTTACGGTCTAGTTTTAATAGCAAAGTGAATCGTAAAGAACCATAAGAGATAGGAGATGAATTAAATATAAATACATCCCCTGAGTAGAGGTAGAATAGATTACCTACTTTTCTTCTAGAGTGTAAAAAAGAATTATCACTTCTAAGGGAGTGTCAAGTGACGTTAACTTCGATTTCTTTTCGTCAGGAACTATAGTCTTATTTTATTTTTCCTATGAAAAAAAAAAAATATTTTCATCAGTTTCCTTTTATAATAACAATGTTTATTTAGAAATTCTCAGTATTAAGTGACGCACACAACTTCTATTATAATACAGAATCGTCTGCGCATAATTTTTCCTCTTACTACCTCTTAATTTTTTTTTTATTTATTTTACTCTTAAAACCCTTCCTTGAAGTGTACTCGTTAACCTAACTGCTAGTGTTGCCTAAAATTCATCTTGGCCTTTGCAAGACTAAGACCAAGATTAGAACTGGTAAAAAAAATCGATTTTTTTTTAAATTTTATTTATTTTATTATTTGAAAATTAATACATTCTACCGCATTGGAGGGGAAATAAAAATTAAGGCAAAATAGTTACTAATATTCGACAATTTTAGTTACTATATGTCAATAATTGGTATAACCAATATACTTTTGCATTTAACTCCTCTAATTTTTCATTCAGGCTTAGTTAGGTTTCTCCTATCTAAGAAATTACAGTAATATCTCTATAGTAATAATCTAATAGTAACTGTAAGACTATTGCGAGGCTCTTGCGCAAGACCAATACCATGACCAAGACTGAGTTTGCAAAACCAAGACTCGTCCCGGTCTCGCATTTGGCCAACACTACTAACCGCTTTCTTCTAAATTTGGAAGATACGATATACTTCAATTAGATGTTTGGATGTATTAAATTATTAATTTATAAAAAATAAATTTTGAAAAAATTGTGAAAAATACCACATCTAAGATGACCAAAAGCTCTCCAAACAATTTTTTATCAACGGAAAAATGTATGAAAATAGTGAAGGCATTTTTTCATTATTGCAGAAGCGTCGATATATGGCATTGATACTTTCGATTTAAGTTGAGTTTGGGAAAAAAATAATAACCATATCTGTCCCAAAAGTATGTATTCGTTGTCAATGAACAGATATTGAAAATTAAATAATAAAAAAAGTAATAAAACATGTCCGAGTTTATGTTGATTGTATTACAGTATACATAAGTCTTTAGATCCATTTTGTATTCTTATTTCTTCCTGTGAACTAAAAGATGTTTTATCTTTCAACTGAACGAACAATCTCTGTTAATATGGCCTTGTTTATTTTTATATTTAACGATCAGGTGCAAATTTTTGCCTTGTCTCTTCTCATACGTGTTATGACATTTTGTTGTATCTGCCGTGTCGCAGTTCATCAGGAGTACAGTTAGTTAGCTCGACTCTAATTTAGTTTTTTTCGCTATTAATTATAAGATAATTCACAATTGTGAACAGATTAACAATGAAAGTTAATATAGTTCTATGGCAAACACTATGCATTAAAAAAAAAAGATATTCACAACATAAAAATAAATAAATAAATGTTTAATTTATTTTATTATTTTAATTTATGCTTATAAAAAGAATATTTGCATACATGAAATAAACATGCGGAATAAAAAGTAAAATAATGTATATGACCTTGAATTAAATTTACACAAAGCTTGCTTAGTAGCATAGACAACCAACTACTATTTTATGGCTGGATATAAAATATACGGTTCCCGTCTACTCCGGTGTCTAGAAGATTCAAAAGGCCCCTCTGTTTCAACCAGAAGATTGAGGAAAAATCCAACAATAGCCAGGAATATGTCCTGGTGTCCAAGAAACTAAAAAGAATTACATCAATATTAATAATATAACTTTTCGAAACTAACTGAAGACGGGGCATCGATAACGGGCTGAATGTCACAAGTTTGATTTTATGTTATTCAATTTTTTCAAATTCACTTACCTATATATGTAATATATAGTAAGGGTAAGTATTGCGATCGTGAAAATTTTCGAATCTGCGTTTTAAACGGAAATACATGTTTTGAGGTCTCCTGAGTCCAAATAACCAAATCCCGAAAAATATAAAATCATTTCATGGATGTATAAAGCATATGTTTATAACCTCAAATACATTTACTGTAGTTTAATTATTCTAGATCTGATATTATATTTATATAATTAGTTATCAAAGTCTGTCTATTCCCAAATATTGTGATGTAACTTTTTAGTAAATTAAATTAGTGAATAATTTGACGAATCTTCCTTTCGTGATATTCCAACAGTATCCACTACTGTTTCAATGTACTTGTGTGAAAGAAGAAGTGAGATATAATAATATTTCGTAGATACATCTATAACCTTAAATATATTTACTGTAGTTTAATATCTCTAGATATGATATTATATTTAAGTATTTAGGTATCTATCGTCCGTTTATTCCGAAAAATCATCATGTAACCTTTTAGAAAATTAAATTATTGAATAGTTTGATGTAATTTCCTTTTGTGATATTCCAACAGTATCCACTTACAATTAGTGTGGCAACTTTTGACCTGTCTATGACAGACAATGCAAATCTCTTAATTCCGTTTTAGTAAACTTTGCAATGGAAAATAATAGTTTAATAACTAATAGTCGTACAATTCATAATCAACGGATCGTGCAATTCATAATCAACGGATCGTACAATCCATAATCAACCGGTGATACAATAAATAGGACTTTTGTTATTTTAATGGAATCTATGATTTGTTATCTGTATTTTTTGAGCTATAACTCAGTTAAAAATGCAATTAAAAAAATTTATAATAGCCCAACATGGCCAGAAAATAATTTATATACAAAGTTGAGCGGTAAGTGAAAGTTGTGTTACGCGCACCAGATTTTTTATTTATTGTTTAATAAATAAACTGAAATAAAAATTTTATTTACGACCTAGGCTAAAATTTATACAAATATTCTATATTTAAAAAATTCGTTTTTCTTTTATATGAAAATGGATCATTTATTCTGAAAAACTTAGAACGTGCTATGTGACATACCTTTGCCAATATTAACCAGCTAAGTGCCACTTTGAAAAATTTCAATCTTTTTGTTATTTTTCAATTGAAGAATATTTTAAATTTACTAAAATACAAATCAGTTTTGACTGATCATCTCTTGAGAATGATCTGCAATCTTTTTTTCAAATACGGCAGCATCTGACGCATATCACTACAAAAAAAAAAAACACGTTTGAGGAACTGCATGTTTTCAGTTCGTTAGATGAAAAAAATGTCTATCGAACACATATGCATATATTCGTCTCATAATTCACTTTTTTGTGTGTGTAATTTTTATTGCTTTCTCTTATGCTTTGTGTTAGTAAACCTGTTTTCATTATTCTATAACCTGGTCTCGCTAATACCTATCACATTTAGAGTTTCAGTATGTGGTCCATGGAAGGAAGTTTACAAAACTTTTTTGTTCAAGATTCTGTTTTGAAATTTGCGCATTTAATTTTGATCTATAAAGACACGCTACATCTTTAAGCCTTCCTAATGTTCAAATCCTGACTCAAATAATCCATTTGCTTTTTCTCTTCCCAAAGATCTCGTCCCTTATGAACCATTTTTTTTTTTCGTTTTGTTAGCCTTTCAGTTCTGTATTTGCCTATATAGAAAACATGCATAAAAGTAATATTGGTGCATATCATTATAAATTTATTAATATTGTATATAATGAGTGATATGGAAAAGAATTTGTATATATATATATATATATATATAAATATGTGATTCATGAATAATTAAATCCAAAGAAAAACAAAAAAAAAACAACAGAGTATGCTGTGTATCGAGCAACCCTATAGTAATGCAGCACTCCTTTAAATAAAGTACTTCTCTCTCAATTTTTTCACCTCTCAACGAAAATCAAACCATTGATTGAAGTGTGCTATCCTTGGCTTCATCATAATTACCAAACTTCTTTTACAGGATTGATGAACGTCTTATCCGTTCAAAATTTTTCTCACATTGTCTTTGGGGGTATTGAAAGAGTGGACCAGACTTTAATTTTTTTTTCTTCAGAACCCAAATGCACCGAAACTTATACTTGCAGTTGAATTGAAGCAAAACAAAAAATTTAATTTGTTTGGAAAAACAAACTGTCATTTTAAGGAGGTTGAAGTTATTAGAGTTTTAGAAACTACCTAAATAGATCTAAAATTTATGTCTATACTCTTAAATTTATATCTATAAGAAATTAATTGAAGCTAAATTATTTTATATTACTATAATAAAAATCTGAAATATTGGTACTAACATTGAGTATCAGAAGTACATATTTTGTAACAAAAAACTTAAGGCCCAATAAACAGATTTTAGTTTTTACAGTTAAGTTTTTTAAATAAAATTTATTTATTTTTTTAGTTATATTCACAGTGCCTTCTAAAATTATTGTGACAATTAGCCTGTTTTAACCTATCACCTAACTGACTTGTCTTATGCGTTCACTAATATTAATTATTGTTAGGTTTAGCGCATTATATAGGTCGTTGGCAATATCATTAACATAGATTGGGTCTAACTCAATTTTTGATTTTTTTGTACTTAGCCATTTATTAATGTCCATTCTTCAATTAAAGTCTTAATAAGAAAAAATGCTTGATGATATTGTCGGAACGATGAGAATTTTACTTTACGAAATCTTCTCCTTGCGCCTCTCAGACATGTTTTCCATGTTACAACGTCCACAAACAAAGTGCGTACTTTATTTGTTTGTTAAATTGCTGTAACCATACACCCCATATTAAACACCATGTTAAACACCCCATAAATACATTATTCACTTGGTTGTATCTTCAAATATGTTCTTTTACTTTCCTAGTTTTGTTGCATTATCTCTTTAATGCTTAATTTTTATCAGATATATAATAATGTATTATGTACAGATATGCAGTAATATAAGTAAATAAATAAATTCTAACAATCAATATGTCGGAGATGTATGGAATCTCCGGATAGTTTTTAAAGACCTATCTCCTTTTCTTATCTAAGCTATCTATATTTAGCTGTTGATTGTTGTTAATCGTCCCTCTTAATTATTTCTAAAAATAAACTCAATAGGCCCAACAGTTGTGTTGATAGTGTTCCAATCGTTTCTTACGAATTTTAAAATGTTCCAAATTAATATTGAATTTTTACTGCGAATTATTGGTAGTTGGGCATTTGGTTTACATATTAAAATTGTGTTCATTTTTCTTACGTTCCTGTTACTTTAAATTCAGTTAATTGTAACAGAAATTATGTGATTCCTCAGTTGGATTATAAGACATAATTTATTTGAAATGATTGTAATTTTATTTATTCCTTTTGTCTTTATTTTCTTATCGGTTTGTGATGGATGTGTGACTATCAAATGAAAGAAAAAAAATATGTGCTTATTTTTAGTGTTATATCCCTTTGAATTCGGTATTAGAAACTTCATATTATTTATAGTATTCAGCAATTGTGAATTATTTAAATGCATAATTCATAAACTTTTGTGTTCAGATTTAGTCGACTAGTATTTACTAATTGTTTTAAATGTTGAAATCGTTTCAGCTTAGTTTGACATTTTTTATTGCATTATTTTTAAATTTTTTGAATTAAATGTTGTTTTCTCTTGGTAAAACAGAATTATGACCATATATTCCTTTGTTTAATATAGATTTGAATTTTTTCTCTTCCTTCTGTTTCTATTTAATCATTTTGCAGGCATTTTAATTGCCAGTTCCCTCTTTTATCTCAACCAGTTGACAAGTATACTGAAAGAAAATAATTTTGCTTAGAGATTCCATATTTTCACTTAGACCTTATTTATTTATACTTTTTCTTAGTACTTATGAAGCAGCGTAATAATCCAGATCGTCTTCGGAAACTGTTCATTAGATTTGATGAATGGAGGAATGGCTTAGCCTAATTGTGCACGGTTAAAGATGTTATTTTAATTTTTTTTCATTTACCATAAACGAGTATTTTTATTCGAGGTAGTCGGATAAGTAAAACAACCGAAAACATTGTCATGAGGTGAGAAGATAACTTGTCGTCACATGAAGACTATATGCAGCATAATAAAAATGTACCTTTGATACTTGCGTAATGTTCATTACATAATGATGATGTTCAGATAATTGTTTATTCTAATTAGGTAAGAATGTTTGTTTAAGCTGTGCCCTTATGTCCGAAGGGGGTTAAGTGACTAATCCATTTTGAGAATGTCGCCATCAGGCTTAGAATATCTGTTATTGTTTTGTTTTTTTTTTGCCTTAAGCTGTATACATTGATATTCTACGACATTTATACAAACTTCCAGAGAGTTCAGTTGAAAGGTAATAATAAAAAGAAATATCTGGTGCGCACATCACACAACTTTCACTTACCGCTCAACTTTGAATATAAATTATTTTCGAGCAATGTTGAGCTCATAAAAAATTACAGTCAACAAATAATATATACCATATATGATTATGGTTTGTAGGTTCCGTTGATTATGGATTGTACGACTGTTAGTTATTTAACTGTAATTTTCCATTTCAAAGTTTACTAAAACGGAATTAAGAGATTTGCATTGTCTATCATAGGCAGTTCAAAAGTTGTGGCACTAATTGTAAGTGGATACTGTTGGAATATCACAAAAGGAAATTTCATCGAATTATTCACTAATTTAATTTTCTAAAAGGTTACATGATGATTTTTAGGAATAAAAGGACGATAGATACCTAAATATTTAAATATAATATGAGATCTAGAGTTATTAAACTACAGTAAATAAATGTAAGGTTATAAACGTATCTATGAAATTTTTTATATTTCAC